GCCTATAGTGTGTATATTGTGTTTTTGTTCCTACAGAGAGGGCCCAATGAAAATTACTTTATTGTATATTGGCCTACACTCTTTAAATAAAGTGTTAAATAAATAAAATAAATAAATTCCGGCGAGTTGAGTCCGCCATGTTGTTTACTAATGTTGGTTAGCGTGTAACAATAGGACAATACCATTCTATCCATGGGGGTGACAGCGCTACGATTGTGCCGACATTGTCGAAGGACAAAGACAGGACAAGTTTGTGCAAGTGTGGCGAGACTCTCGTAGTATTGTTTAGTAAGATTCATTTAAAAATGACTATGTAAGACGTTTGTTACGCAGAAATTATTCACCTCATGTAAAAATAAAGCATCGTTTTCTCATTGTTATGTGTCCCCGTAAACACAGCACTGTAGTATGCAGGTGACAATGCTACGTACACGTGCAATGAAATCGGTATCCTAAGAATATCGTAACGTCTTTGTGTTTTCTGTTGCAGTGCAAGTTTGTATACGGTAAATCTCGTGTACGGTACAGAGTTCGGTAAATCTCGCGTCCGTACACGGTACAGAGGGGATATTTTCGTAGGCTGTGATCCAATGTTTTTATTCTTTATACTGTAATTCAAACAAATAAAAAACGTATATTCGTAGCCATGGACAAGATTTAAAATGTAATCAGCTGTTTTATTCGTCTATGATTTATACAAAGATCGTATATTTTGTAAGTGTATAAAGCATTTTCCACATTAAGCTTCCAATATAGATTCTTAAACACAAAATATCAAATATATCTTTAAGTGTTTAAATTGATTTTTTTTACTGTAAATGGCACTTTCATTTAACTTCCTGTAAAAACGTAAAATGCCTTTTTTATTTCCTGCATTCTGTACCAGTTACCCATTATTGATAGCTATTTGTCACTCTACAATACGAGTGTTTAACATTATACTCTCCACGACTTCCACCTTTGAGACAGAACCTCTTTTCGATTCAGAATAGAGGTGCTGTTTACAAATTAAAATAAAAAGGTTGAGAAGATTACAATAAAACTGCCGT